GGACAGTAAAGCCGGGTGATCAATCACTCGAGTTTAAGGCCAGCCTGGGCTATGTAGTAATTTCAAGACCAGCCTGAACTATATAGAAGAACTCTGCATCCAAAGAACAAAATTCTCCCAGAGCAAAACTTCTAAATGCTATACATAACCAAGGATAGTTAGTGATTGTCTCAACTTCCACATGGCTGCTATCACGTCAGTTTAGTAAGAACTAGGAGGAAGCATTGTAGTAGAATAGGCTGATATGGCTCGCTGTCCTGGGTCTTTACTTACAGGTGTCATTTTTGATCCTTCTCTTTTCCTTACTCATATTTCCATGTGACCCAAAAGTTGATTGTTTTTTCCTTAGAATGCTTTGCATATAAATCCTTTTCATTTTTTCCTTCTCTTCCAGGATTAGTATGTCATACCTAGAATAATAATAGAAGTAATAAAATTAAGTTTATTTAACACTTTATAGTTTACAAAATTCTTTGACATTCTACCTTATATGATGCTCATAGCCACCCTGTGAGACAAAGATTCTTTCCATCTTCTGTTAGTTAATATTTTTAAAACACAACTTCCACCATTTGCTTATTCTCTTAGTTCAAGACTCATGATTTCAGAGCAAGCTGAGGAATGAAGTTACTATTCTAAACAGGCTTTTTTTTTTATTGTGCTAGAATTTTCTCCATAAAAACCTTCTTATCAAGCCAATTTTGTTTACTTCAGCTAGCGTCCATCATTTACGACACATTACAGGTACAACACAATACAGATAGAATGTTTGGTGCTAGGTACAGAAAGATACTTGAACATTGTTCTCTTCAAGAAATGCAGTGTTCTGGAGGTAAAAAGGTAGATATAACAAGTTATATGTAGAAATTTATGAGCTGAGAGCTGGCTCAGTCTTTTAAGACGTTGAAAATTTTATCTAGTAAAGGGATCCCTTCTGTGTGATACATTTTTTAAAAACAAAACCACAAGGAACCAAAAAATTGAAGATGTGTAAAGAGCTGAGAAGTACAAAGTTTTGGAAGCTGCAAAGCTGATAGTTAAGTGGTAACGGATACAGCATTTAAAGAGCTCAACCGGTTTATATGAAAAATATGCCAGATAGCTCAGAAATTGGAGACAGAAGAAACTTCAGGAAGGTGGGGCACAGAAGAGCTAAGAAACAAAACAAATTAAAAGTCAGAGTACCATCAAAGTGGCCAACCAGCTGAACACAGGGAAAATCAGAACAAGATTATACGTAGAGTGGTAAGACTCCTGGCATCTGTGTGGGACAGGGAGAAGCATAGTGGTGCATGCCTATAATTCTAGCACTGGGGAGGCTGAAGCAGGAGGATTTCTGGGCTACAAAGCAAAGCCCCCTTGGGCTACATATGGAGACCCTGTCTGAACAGAAAAAAAAAGAAAAAAACCTATAAAAGAAACAAATCCCCACCTGGAAACCAGCGCCATACATGGGCCACTGCCAGAGTAGAGACAGCCAGAACCCAACCCTCTTTCTGTGAGTCAGTGCCATTTTCAGACTGCGGTGGAGGGGAGAGAACCAGGCCTCACCAAGAGATGATCCCTGCCTAGAAACCAGCACCATACGCAGCAGTGGGGACAGCTAGACACAAGCCTCTCAGAATTCTGAGTCAGCACCATTTGTGGACTGCCAAGGGAGAAAACAAGGCCTCACTAGGAAACGATCCCTGCCTAGAAGCCATATCATTTCCATTGTTTTGTTGGATTGGGTTTTATTCTCTTTTGTTTTGTTTGAATATGTTAAATCTGATGGCAGGAGCAGCTGTTTCAAAGATAGCAGGCTATGTTATGGTAGCCATTTTGGATTTACTATTGACTTGTTTTGAAGTCCTTTCCTGCATTCATTGTTTTGTTTTTATTGTTTCTATTCTGTTCTGTTGGATTTTTACTATGTCCAAAGGTATCTGCCGCTATTTTGAAGATGACAAAAGGCATTATAGTAACTGTTGTTGATTTCGTAAGGTTTTGAAGTCCTGTATCACTTATACTGATTTATTTTGATTGGCTTTATTTTCCTTGATTTTATCATCTTTAAAATAAAATAAAAAAGAAACATCCCACAAGCGCCTAGAATTTCTTTGAACTCTTGCATTTTTTTAAACCTCAAACAAGATCTAGGCATCGTTTTTATAATATATTATTTGTGGTAATGTGAAAGATTTTTTCTGAATTTACAAATGAAAATAAGATTTCTGTGTCCTATATGTTCTCTACCTTAATACACAAATATCCTGGCATTCCTCCGTGAACTAGTAGGTGGACATGATGCAGAAGAACTATAGTACAGGGCTCTGTGTGCCAGAACAAGGTTTAGATCTCAATAACAAGTGCTTACACAGAGCCAGGAAGGACTTTTTTTGAAAAATACGTGAAAGGTTGTAAGAAAGGTATAAAGGTGGAAGAAATTCTTTGTTGAATCAAGGTAGGTTTTTTTGTTTTTTGGAGGTTGTCATGTGTGTGTGTGTATGTGTGTGTGTGTGTGTGTGTGTGTGTGTCTGTGTGCGCGCGTGCGCATGAGGAGTCAAACTTAGGACCAAATGCTTGCCAGGCTGGCGCTATGCTGCTGAGCTATATCCCTGGTTCCTCAATTGAAGTTTTAATCTGCTTGGGAGTTGGCTGTCTTCAACTCTCTTATCTCTTCCTTACTGTCTTTTTACAGGTTCATAAAATGTCTTTTAAATTTTGTTTTTGATAGAAACAATTAGAAATACAAAGAAACTTTTTGAAGCCTAATGCCATTAATATATACAGGAAAATACCTATTTTCTACTTGTGCTCTTAAAAATTTTGTGCCCTTATAGATTTTTTAGGTGGTTGGCATCTTGTTCCTTTATTGTGTTATTTGCATACAGAATTATCACTTGGCATATGATGGTAGTGATACGGTATTTAAGGACAGTGATGTGCTTACCTTGTAAAGGTCCTTTTGTCTAGAGCTTGGTAAACAAGAACCTATATAACAAAGCAGCTTTTTGTCTCCAAAATGAAGTATATTTATTTTTCTTTATTATAAGAATTATGTTTGTCATATAAAAATTAGAAAAGACAGAATCAGAAAAATAGCTTAATGTATATTGTGATCCTTTTCCTTGCATATTTTTTCAGCTGTGCATATATAGAAATACATCATTTATTTGTATGTATTATTTAATCAGCTGAGATTTTGAGTGTCTGAGATGTGTAGAACGTACTCTCATTGTATTTATAGTTTAGCTGGATTAGATAGGGCAAAAAATATAAGGAGCAATGTACAGTCCAGTGCAGTGTCTATAAACTCTGTGAGCTCTTGGCAGCTGTGACCGTTAAGGATTGGGTGGTGCAAGAAACAAAATACTCAAGGTGCGTGGCACACTAAGTGACAGCTGTGTGTCTTATCCCCATCCTAACTGCATGTTCTTAGTCTGGATGTCTGGGGTAATTTTTTCTCGGTACTGGAGATTGTCCTAGAGCCTCAAGGGTGCTAACATAGGCTTTACTACTGGTTATACTCCCAGGACTCACCCTTTAAAGGGAAGGCCTTGCTTAAGTTGGTCTCGAACTTTGAATCCTACTGTGTCAGCTTCCCAAGTAACTGACACTACAGGTGAGCAAGAACTTGATCTAGAAAAACATCAATTCCAATACAGAAGTAGGCAAGTTGTAAGGAAAAATTTCTATTTCAGGAAGAACTTTAAGGTATTTGTTACCCAAGTGAATCACATAAGTATGTACAGCCCTCTGTCTGCAGGTCTCCTGCAGCTTTGGACAGCCAGTAACACATCCCGCATGATCCTAAACTTCTCTAACATTAGACGTGATTTTTAGTGGTGTTTTTCATGCCTTGATTGCACAGTATTCTGCTATGGACTGCATGAGTGACAGCGAGGCTCTGCAGGGATGGCACAGAGCAGTGCTTATGCTGCCTGCTGTGTACATGGTCAGTGGATGTAAAATCCCCATGCATCAGGTGTTATATTCATGCAACTAAAAAACCCCAGTGATGACTGATAGTAGTATTTCAGTCTGCCTGTGTGTGTGTGTGTGTGTGTGTGTGTGGGCCTGTGAAGACAGGTGATTATTGTTATTAATCAGCTATGTATCTGATTGCTATACTTGACCTTGTAAGGTAATTTAATAAGTTAAAATCTTTTACAAGGGCATTTTGTGATTTCCATACATTATATTAGTGGGCATATTCCATGTATGGCCCAAGGTATTTCCTCTTCATTCACTGCAGCCCGACCAGACAAAAAGGTACCCACAGTATGTGTGGTTAAAGACAGAACGAGAGGGGCCTGGAGATTTAGCTCAGCGGCATACACACCTGCCTTGCAAGCAGGCAGTCGTGAGTTCAATCCCTGGTACAGATAAAAAAGGGAAAAAAAAAAAAAAAAAAAAAAAAAAGAACGAGAGTCCTGATTGCTGAAGATTTGAAACAGTTTTGAGAACTGTCTCCTTATTGGACAGTAGATGAGTTCCCTAAAACACAGGCCTAGCATAAATGGTTTTATTTCACATTATCTCTTACGTCATCCAACATTACCGCTAAACACCAGCGCAGAAAATATAAGATTCCTGTTTTTCAGTGAGTTAGAAGAATGAGGGTTTGTTTATGCTGTGCCAAGAGTGTTAAACCATATGTTTGAAATTCTGGCATTTCTTCTTGGTTTGCCTCAAGGCGTAATAGGAAGTACTGACCGTGTGTGTGTGTGTGTGTGTGTGTGTGTGTGTGTGTGTGTGTGTGTGAGAATGTGAGAGAGGGATGGCTGGATAGCTTTCTTAAAATTTTTTCATATGCCCTTAAATATTAGAGTCACAAGCCGTTTTTGTTTTAGTCTTGCTGTATCTCACATCTGTGCTTAGCTTTTCACTTAGAAATCATGTTTCATGTATATGAATGTTGGGAATGTGACCTTTCTCATGACCCCGTAAGCTAAATTTTTGCTTTGCATTTCCCCAAAGAAATGTCACTAAACATGTACATTCTGCTTTTCCCGTAGGTAAAAATCTCTACACCAATGAATATGTAGCAATCAAACTGGTGAGTAGAATCTCTGATGTAGTAATTTGTGTTTCAGTGCTCTCACTGCTCCAGTCTTTGTATAGGGAAGAGCTGTCAGCATTTGCAACAATGCTAATGTAATTTTTTCATTATTTTTGATCTCACATGATAATTTTTCTTCAATTATAGTGTTTTAATGGTGAATCACTATAGTTAGCAATGGGAAATCAAAAAGTATTTGATAAAAAGTAGCTTGAAAAACTAGTAAATGTGTGGCCTCTGTATCTTTCACCTTAAAAAAGATAGTCATTGAAAAAAAAAAGATAGTCATTGAAAATTCTATTTCTTTTTTCTTTTCTCTCTCTCTCATTTATTTATTTATTTATTTTTTTGGTACTGAGGCTCGAACTCACAACCTTGTGCTTGCCAGGTAGGCGCTTATACCACTGAGCTAAATCCCCAGCCTCTATTTTTTTTTCTTCAGTGTGGCAGATCCACTTTGAAAATGCAAGGTGTCTCCCCTCCCCGGTAAGTGGCTGTGGTGTGGCCGTCTATGGCCCCTCCAGGGGGAGAACCACCAGTGTCTCCTGAGATCTACACCATGTTGGAACTTAGGGTGCTGGGAACCAAGCAAGCAGCTCCCCTCCCTGGTAAGCAGCTGTGGTGTGTCTGGCTGCAGCCCCTCCAGAGGGAGAACCACTAGCATCTCCTGAGATTTGTGCCATGTTGGAACTTAGGACGCTGGGAAACCAAGCAAGCAGCTTGCATCCCTGGTAAGCAGCTGTGGTGTGGCCAGCTACAGCCCCTCCAGGGGGAGAACCACCAGCAACTCCTGAGATCGGCGCTATGTTGGAACTTAGGATGCTGGGAAACCAAGCAACCAGCCTGCCTCTCTGCTAAGCAATAGTGAGCCTACTGGTGCATGGTCTAGAATCAAACATCCCACTTCCCTTACCCTCCTTCCCCTGTCCCCCCATCAGCAAATGGGAACATCTGAGCATCTCTTGGGAGGTTGACCATAGCAAATAAGGGGAATTTCCTTCTACCATCTCTTTGAAGGCAAATATTTTATTACTGTTTTGCTCTATTCTGATTAATAGTACTGCTCTATTCAATATTCTGTTTTGATAAATTCTTTAATGTTCTGTATTTCATTTTATTTTGATATACGTGATTGAAGGAACAACTGTTGTAAAGATAATGAAATACACTGTGATACCTATTACTGTTATCCTGGTAACCTCCTGTGAAGTTCTGTACCATTCTGTACCAATTTCACTACATGGTCTCAGTTGGCTTTATTCTGTCTTGTTCTGTGTATTTTACTACCTTCAAAATTAAAATAAAATAAGATAAAATAAAATGCAAGGTGTTGATGGTACTTTGATGAAAACCAAATATGATTGGCTAGTTGTGGTCTAGAAAATCTTATCAGGCATGAAAATCCTTGTGGTCAAATTAGAAGCAGCGTTCAGTACTGATCTTATGAATATCCTAACTAATCATTGAGAATAACTTATTTTATTTATTTTAGTTTTTTGAGGCAAGGTCTCAGTCCTTACTCTGTTTTGGTTTTGAACTCACTATGTAGGCCAGGCTTGTCCTGACCTCCTGCCTCAGCCTCCCACCATGCCCAGCAGAACCTTATTTTTGAAAGAGAATAAGCTTGTGATTATTGAAGAGTAATAATTTTGGAAGACACAGTTCCTTGTCTTATATATATTTAGGGTGATTCAAAACCATTTCTTGTCATGTAAAATAATGATCATATGATTAGTTCTTGTGAAACTGCAATTACTTGTCTTCTTAGTAAAGAGGATCTACTGGTAGGTTTCAGTCTTACTAGTTGCAAACCAGAGGAGTTAATGGTTAGGGAAACAATCCTATGCTGACTGAGTGTCGTTCACATTTACTGCCTTCACTCCTGTTCTGTGCTTGGTCCCTGCTCTCACTGAGCTTGTTAGATTGTGGAGGAATTAGTGTATCTTGTGCTGATAGATCGGATTGTTTTTCTCAGTGAAGGGATGGATGGCAAGCAGGGGTCAGAGCAGGCAACTTGCATGGAACCCAGCACTCAAATGTTTTGACTTGGAAGTTTTGTGGAGAAATAAAGGCATAAGGGAGGGAATGCATATGGTAATACAGGTCACATAGGTTCTCTGATTGAAAGTTAAATCACTAGTTAATATATTACATATTGTTATCTTAGAAATAGTTGTTCAAGTTATAAAAAAAAAATTTTTTTTTTGTCTTTTTCCTTTTTATCGGTACCAGGGATTGAACTCATGACTGCCTGCTTGTAAGGCAGGCGCTTATGCCACTGAGCTAAATCCCCAGCCTCAAGTTACAAAATTAAAGCGTATAAAGTGGACTTTCAAACAGTGAGACTGGAAACAGTTTCATTCAATGATCCAACAAAACTTAGTAATATGGTTATCTATCTTATACACTTAAATATATATGCAGTTATATTCTTTAGAGCACTTTCTTTTCCTTTCTTTTGTACAATGACTATTACACATTTTGGGTTTTATTACTCCCACAGTTCTTACTACTTTTTTTTGAAGAGAATAAAACCAAATGTGACATAACAGAACAGAGTCAGTCAAATCAAAAGGATGGACATAATAGATAATGTAAAAACAAAATACAAGGTGATCAACAATGGTTACCATACTGCCTCTTGCTATCTTAAAAAGAATTGCCTATATCATCAGTTATAATAAAATTGAACAAAACAGTAAAGAATAAAACCAATAAAACCAAAACATTGGAGACATTACAGGACTTTAAAAGAAGATAATAGTCAATCGGAATGGGCGTCATAATGCATCATACTGTCTTTACAGTTGTTGCCTATACTTTCGAACTTGGTACTACCAAGCAAAGCAGAATAGAGGAAAATCAGTCAAAGCAAGATGGTGAGGGCTATACAGGATTTCAAATCAAGTTAATAGGAAATCAAAGTGGGTTACTATAATGTATCCTATTTTTTTTATTTTTCCCTTAATTAAAAAGATAAAAATAAAAAAGTAAATAATTACAAAAAAGGAGACTGAGATAAAAGAGGGCATAACAACAAAACAGCGCAGGTCAAAGCTTAACCATTTAAGCAAAATAGTGTTCCAACACAAGATCAGAAATGAACAATGTTTATCAGAACAATTGTTCATCAGAAAATGAACAATGGTTTCTGTATAATCTTGTCTATAAAAGTTTTTGCTTATATTATCACATATAATAAAATACAATAAGGTACAACCTGTTAAGACTGAAGCTTGATGGGATTTCAAAGCAAGATGATACTAAATCAGCACTAGCTATTATGATGTCTTGTTTTCTCCAAAATAGCTGTTCCTACCATCCAATCTTCTCTGCCTCATTTCTGTTGAGTTCTTTTTCTGTTGTTTGTTTTCAGTTTGTCTTCTTCATTTTGCTTTCTGCTCCATTCATTGTGGCCTCGCTGCTACTGTTTCTGAAGTCTTGGTATTTTTCTTTTTTAGAATATCCTGCAGTATTCTCTGTAGAGTTGAACTGGTGGTTGCAAATTCCCCTAGTTCCTCTTTATCCTGGAAGCACCTTGTTTTTCCATCAATTTCTAGGGACAGTTGTACAGGATATATTAATCTTGGCTGGAGGTTGTTATCTTTCAAAGCTTGAATTATTTCCCCCGATGCTCTTCGGGATTTGATGGTTTGTGCCGAGAAGCCTGCTGTAATTCTGATGGGTGTTCCCTTGTAAGTGATCTGTTTCTTGTCTCTGACGGCTTTTAGTATTCTGTTCTTATATTGGATTTCTGGAATTTTTATTATTATATGCCTGGGTATAGCTCCTACAGAATAATCTTGGGTTATTTGGATTACTGACAGGAAGAAGCAAGCAGTCCTTAGAACATTTTAACATTTTGTCTCATTGCTGTATACTTGTTACTATGCCTTTGTAAATCAAGACTTCTTTTGAGGCTTACTATTAGGGACAGTTGTTTTTATCTAGATTTCTTCTACATATTTCATAGTAGTTGATTTATGTAGAAAATCTTATAAACATATTGTGGACATGATTGACTATAATATTTCACTTTCCTTTTATTAAACTTGTATTTGTTTATGGCTAATAATTAAAAGCACAGGCTTGGGTGCAGAACAGTAATAGAATGCTTGTGTAGCAAGTGTGAAGCATTATTTTCAGACCTAAAAACCAAACCAAACAAATAAAAAACAGAGTTGAAATCATCTAGTATGATGTGTCTTAGTGCTGTATTTCTCTTTTTAGATAAAGATATCTAAGAGAGTAACCATCTTGTCTGTGGTCCTCTTCTCTTGCTTTTGGGTTTATTCTCCAAGGGAGTTACGAGGATGGTAATCAAGCTCCTTTCACAGTCACAGCAACATTTGTCTTAAGCATTGCACTCCTATGAGGTAGCCATCTGCTGTTGGTTTAGAATTTCATGCAGGCATGTGTGTTCCAGAGTACCCGCCATTCTGGCAACCGGCCAGCCCTATATGGAAATGTGATCAACATCTGGTGCAGAAATACAAGGAAGTCCTGCTACTGCTGTTACAGTTCTACTTTGTTTGGATCATCACTGTGGGTTCTCGTTTCTTAGGTGCTGTGTGTGTGTATCTTTTTGAGATAGTCTCCTTGTGCAGTTCAGGCTGGCTTTGAGCTCACTTTTAGCCTAGGCTGATCTTGAACTCACAACCATCCTCCTGCTTCAGCTTCCTGAGTTCTGGGATTACAGACATGCACTACCACACCTGGCTTCTTGGGTTTTTAAGAACTTTTAAAAATGTACAAAATGGATTGGGGATAGCTCAGTGACATAAGCACCTGCCTGGCAAGTGCAAGGTCCTGAGTTTGATCCCTGGTACCAAAACAAACAGACAAGTGCGCGCGCGCACACACACACACACACACACACACACTAAGAGGATATATAATGAATCCTTTCATCTAGTATGAAACATTCTCTCCAGTTGCTAATCTTGCTGCCTTTTCTAAGGTATGGACTGCACAAGGCTCTGTCTTTAGTGCTTCCATCAAAGCTCCTAGTTGGCTGAGTAGGCTACAGCCATGTGGTACACTGGTTGGCTGAGGGTGTAATTCTACACCTATGATAAAAAGCCCCTTACATCTATCTGTATGTATGTGAGGTATATGCCAGTTTACAAGCCTGGAAAGCTAAAGTGTTGCTGCTTTTTTCATTTAGTTTCCAAGATCAGACTATTTCCTACTAAGATGTACAGCATGAAGTTTGAGAATAGTGTGTCTAAGGAAAGATTTTAAATCCTCTTGTGGTTTGTCATAATCTAACAAGCATTTCTCCAGAAACAATAGTCCTGTTCCTAGTGTTTCAATCAATCTTTAGTTCCATGTTGATTTGTCATCATTATTTGTGTTTAGGTGCTCCTGAAATTATTGGTAGAGACTTTGCTATTAGAAAAATTCTGTAACTGACTGCTTTGATTGTGATAAGTTGGATGATCCTTTTCTATCTGAAAAGCAGTGAAGAAGATAGTTACTGTACTAGTCTCACTTTTCTTTTGACTGAGAATCTTGAGAAACTTGCCAAGTATAATGATTGTTGATTTTATACTCAACGAGTAGTTTGTTTCATAAAGCTTCTCAGTGATATGAAATATTCCAGTCTACCTAAGTTGATTCAGATACGACCTTACTAAAAGCAGGTGATAAACTGAAAACTTTAAGGAAATGTGTGAATCTATGGTTTATGGGTTCTACATCTTTTTTTTTTTTTTTTTTTTGGTTTTTCCTTTTTTTTTGGTACCGGGGATCGAACTCACGACTGCCTGCTTTAAAGGCAGGCGCTTATGCCGCTGAGCTAAATCCCCAGCCCCTTATGGGTTCTACATCTTAAGAAAAATGCAGAAAATTTCAAGTGGATTTAGGAACGAGTCCTCAAAGAATTAATAAAATAATTGACTTAAAAAACAGAAAAGTTAAATGAATTTAAGTTGTGGTGGTGCAGGAAGTTGTTTTTGCTGTTTGAAGAAAATAAAGTGTTCCTAGATTATGAGGAACCATTTTATCTTATTACTGAGGATATACAAGAAATAAACTTGTTTCATTAATATATTTAAACTAAATATAAAATTCTTCTAAACCATGAAACTTGTTAAACACCAGGCATGGATTATCAAGGGAAGCTCTGGAATCTCCTTCCTTGGAGTAGAACAAATAGGACAGTCCACTGGGAAAAAAAATATTAATAATGATAACAATTTTTTCGAATAGAGGTGCTGGGAAAACTGTATCTCCACGTAGAGGTGTGATATTTTTAAAAAATGTGAATGCTTAAATTTTGAAAATCAATTATAGGGTTTGGGGATTTAGCTCAGCGGCATAAGCACCTGTCTTGCAAGTGTGTGGTCGTGAGTTCAATCCCTGGTACTGGTAAAACAGAAAAAGACAAAAAACGAAAATCAATTATAATAAAAAACACACTGTCCTGCATCTCTCACAGTAGTCTCCCTGCTTTGAACACATTTACAGTCATTCTTGCCACTTCTTGAGGTGGTTCTAGAACTCCTGTTTTGTGAGTCTCTTTAGTTGTGCTATCACAGTTGTCTTGAATGTCCTGAACTGTTTCAAATTATGTACTTTTCATAATCATTTAGACTTTGGTAAAGAGCAGGATGTGGAGAGGATGAGGACATATTTTGGGGGGGCGCTGTTTCTTTCACTTCTTAAAGTATTTACTTGACTACCTTTGCACACATTGTGGGGAGTTGGTTGAAGTCACTTTTTTTTTTTTGGTACTGATGATTGAACTCACAACCTTGTGCTTGCCAGGCAGGCTGCTGAGCTAAATCCCCAGCCCTTGTGCATTTTTGTTTGTTTGCTTGTTTGGTGGTGTTGGGGCTCGAACCCTGGGGCCTTGTGCATGCCAGGCAACAGTTCTACCACTGAGCCACATCCCCAGCCCAGCACTACATTTTTTTATCCTACTTGGTACAATGAAGTTGGACCTTTATCTTACACTATAAAAATCAACTCACAGTGGACCAGACATCTAAATGTCAGGTCTAATGATATAAAACTTTTGGTAGAAAATATTGATGAATACACTGTGGCCATGGATTTGGCAGTGGTGTCTTGGATATAACACCAAAATCACAGGCAACAAATAAAAAACAATAGGTAAATTAAACTTGAACAAAGTTTAAAAGTCCCATGTATCCAAGGACAGACTAAAAAAGCAACCCACACTGTGGATGAGAAGATTTGAAAATATCAAATAAGAGATAGCTAGAGTTTACCATTTTAATTTTTGTCAGTAGGTATATCTGTATTATTAAGTACATTAGAATTGTTATACAACCATTATTACCATCTGTCTCCAAAACTTCATTGTCTTAGTTACTTTATGCTTCATCACTGAGACAAAATCACTGAAGCCCAAAGTTGGGAAAGGAAAGGTTTATTTCTTACAGTTTTTGAAGGTTTCAGTCCACACTCAGTTGGCTCCAAGACAGGCGGGCATGGCTGGGCCGCAGTTCATGGCGGCTGCAAAACAGCAATCCTAACCTGCAAAGAGCAAGGCACACCTTCTTCCTGCCATTACATCACATCCTGGCTCCACCCCTTTGTGGGTGGAGCACTAACACCATCAATTCAAGCACTAGACAATGAACCATCACAAATACACAATGCAAACTCATGAGGCCTGGGGGACACAGACATAAACCATGACATTTATTTTCCTCAGCTTCCACTTCGTTCCTATGAAACATTAGTCCTCTTTCCTCCTGTTTCCAACCATGGCAAGCGGTTGTATTTTCTCTTTCTATGAGTTAGACTGTACTCGGTCCCTCCTTTCAATTCTTTGGTTTCTATATATCTGGAAGTGGAATCACTGAATTTAATATTTTAAAGAATTGATATAACATTTACTCTTGCAGCTGCGTGATTTTGCATTTCTGCTAGCAGTGTGCAGGGGTTCCAGTTTCACATTTGTCAGCACTTATTTTCTATTTTTGATCATAGCTGTCCTACTAAGTGTGTAGATGTTGACTTTCCTAGAAATCAGAGTAAGTTTGTGATGATTTTTCAAGACAAATTATGGCAAGAACAGACTATCATGTGTAGATATTAGCCCTTTTTTTACTCTGAGAATCTAGAATTGGAAAGTTTCATTTGCCTAAGTCTGATTCTCTTTGGGTTTCAGGAACCAATAAAATCACGAGCTCCACAGCTTCATGTAGAGTACAAGTATTATAAACAACTTGGCAGTGCAGGTAAGTCAAGATTTTTCCTTTTTTTTACCTCCTCCACTGAGTGTACATTGTACTTGGAAGCCCTAAAATAGGCACATTTTAAAATTTGGTTTATCTACCCTCTTTACCAGACCTGCTGGCGGGATAGGCACCCAGAATCTTCTTGCTCTTTTGTTCCTAGGGGATGATTAAGTTGACTGGTGCTCTGTGATCCCTGACTGTTCCCATGGATCAACCTTTGAATGTTTTCAGTTGCTACAGATACATGTGTAGGGTGTTTTGCTTTTTGATAGTTCTTTCTTTCTTTTTTTTGTACTGGGCTTCAATCCACGTCTTTCACACTGAGGTACAGCCCCAGCCTTTTTAAAGTTTGTCTTTTTACTTTGAGATAGGGTTTCACTAAGGCACTAGGTTGCCCAAATTGGCTCAAGCTTGCAATCCTCCAGCCTCTGTCTCTCCCAGAGTGTTGGGAAAAGTTGAGGCAAGAGGATCATCACAAGTTTGAGGCCAGCATGGCCTACGTAGTGAATTTACATTTAGCCTGAACTAAATGAGATCCTGTCTCCGAAAAAAAAAGTTCTGGGACTACAGGCATCTGCCACAGTACCCACTTATTCTTCATTTCTTTATGTATACCAAAAAGAAGGGAGGAAAGATTGCTAATTGGCAATTATTGTAGTCTTAATGTATTGAGACACATTCTAATACACCACAACACTGTCTTTTATCTATTGTTTTTATTAGCATGCAAGAGCTATCCATAAGTTTGGGAATTTTTTTTTAAGGTACTTGGGATTGTACTCAGCATCTTGGACTTTGCTCTGCTACTAAGCTACGTTCCCAGCCCTTTTGAGGATCTTGTCAAATAGCACAGGCTGATCTCAAACTTGTGTTCCTTGTGCCTTATCTTCCCAGGTAGCTGTGATTTCAGGTATGTGCCACTATGCCTGGCACCTTTGGATATTTTTTAAAATTAAGTTTGTAATTTTTCAAATGGCTGCTGTTTACCAAAAGCTGTGATTTCTAAAATATTATACTAGCCTCCAGAAAACTATTTTGACCAAGCAAATGTACTAGCCCTAAATAGGCTGCCCTTTTAGATCACTACTCAAAAGATGAAATCCTTCCTAGCTAGTTTCATTAGTTGACATTTGTAGAGGTGTCTCTGCTTTTATGCTTCCATGGGTGTGCCACTTTTATGTGAAAGAAGCATGGTTTGAAGATAATATTGAAGGAATTTTGCTTGAATAACACCCAGCAGCTATAGAATTATATATGGAGCATTGGACATTATTGAAGTTTAATAACCTGACCATGGCAATAATCAGCCATTGTTATAATCTAGGGAGACATGATGAGTATTTGTCTGTCATTAAACTTAGTGTGTCAGTCTTTGTTTACAGTAAGTAGCCTCTTGATACATTTCTTGACTGATTGTATCCTTAAACATACAATTTTCCTGGCATAAAATGTGAGACTGGCAACTGAGCTCGTGGATGTGTATATATGCTTTAAGGCTTATTGTCCCTGGTGTTTCAGAATTAAATTTTAATTGTTGTTTCTCTTTATGTTCTCCGTGTTTCATAATGTTCTGAATTGCATGTTTCACAGTGATGACTATCACAGCCCACTTAAGTATGTTCATGCATCTCTCACAAATATAAGACATAGGTAGAAACATACTTAATCCAGCCTAACTGGGGCAAAGGACCAGGCAAGTTACAGCATTTATACTATAAATCCTTCCAGATAGACCCAGAAAATCAGGCCAATCTTGGTTTTCTAATAATGAGCCAAGTAAGCACACATGGTGGCACATGTTGTGCCAGTAGCTTGGGAGGCTTGAGTGGGAGTATTTCTTAGGCCCAAGAGCTTGAGGCCACCACATCTCAAAAAAGCAAAACAAGGCTGAACATGTTGCTTGGTGGAACTGCACCTGTTCTGAGCCTTAGTTCTGTCAGAAAAGGAGCCCCTCAAAATCTCACCAGCTCATTACATAGGAATCAAATCTTTGCTGTGTTGAACTTTCCTAAAATACAAAAATTTGTGGTCTTGAGATTTTGGCATTATTTGTGCACTAAAAGCAAGGAGTAATAGAAGGGGACTGTAAAGAAGATCCTAGCTCTGAGACTGGTGCATCAGCCCATGTCACCTGAGGGATAGGAGAGCTCTGTGGCAGTGTCAAGCCAGCTGGCACAGTGGCACACACAGTAGGCTGGCTGTCGTGGATCTCTCTCCAGAGTATTTTCTGACAATCATCCAAAAGTCAGGAAGCCTTCTAGTTTTTATATGACGTTCAGTGGCGATTCCTGGCCCCTTTACTGCTCCTTGAGCCCGCTCACTCCTCTTGACATAACTTAGATGGGTGGGTGTTGTCTTAGTGTATTCTTGTCTGCAACTAATGGATAGCCACAACTTTTTCCAAAATAGGAAGAAAATTGGAGATACATTTCAAATTTCTCTTGAGGGTAAAAATTGCTTTTAGGATTTTCTTAATGATTACCATCCCTCCTTTACTTCTAGCCATAGTCTTCACCATTATTCAAGATAATCCATTGATGAAAAACATAACATATTTAAGTTCTTGACATTGATTAAAAATTTGCTATTTTCATCTTCATGGAATATAATTGAACTTCCCTGTATTAATTCAGAGACATTCATCCGATATATTGTGTACTACCCCATTTACTATCCACCTCCAAACGTTTTTAGACCCATGTGTTTTCGGTTTATTCAGTCTTTCTGCATAGCAGAAAGTAAGGTTCTTTCCTGTTATCGCTACACTAGCAAGCACACATATATGACACCTTTCATTTTGTGATGTTCCTCTTAAAATAGCAGAAGTAACTTTGCACATGGAGATTATGAATTGCTATACTCTTTAATCTGGACACAAAGTTTTTCTAAATTTACATTAGCTTTTTCTCCCCCATCAGCTTTATTAAGGCATAATTAAGAAACAAAATTATATATGTTAAACAAAATTATATATGTTAACAGCCATTTCAGTAGGTGACCTTCAATGCTTTTATAGAGACATACTGAGCTGAAACCTATAAATCTTTTTTATATAAACTGCCATCAGTGAAATGTTTTGGGGTTTTGGGGGGATACTTTGTAGTTATATAATAGGTGTAAAGCACCTAAATCTCTCAAATGTCATTTTATCCCATCATTACTAATTTTTAAAAATCCTGATTATATTATCTTATTGGTATTTATATGCCTTCTTAGAAATTGTATTTGTATATAAACTTAAGAGCCAAGCTTGTACCTTCCCCTTTTTACCTCAAGGCCCAGTGTAGTTCTGTCATATAGTAGGCAGTAAGTAGTTCAGTGGCAGTACGAAGTTAGAGATTGGATAAACTTGCATTTTTAGATTTTTACCAAGTTATTAATAAAAATGATCCTTGAGGATAGCCAATAAAGGGAGAAAATTCTTTTTAAAATAGATCAGTTGACAAAAAAGTAGATAGGATTTCCTCATGTCTCATTGTAAATGTAAGCATGGACATTAGGGCTCCTTCCCAGCTGAAAAGCACAAGCGTTTTTCCTTTTGTCTTTCCAGGGTGAGCTCTCGGCTACAGATGTGACGCAGTAGTTACGTTTGTGCAGCCAGAGCCCAGAGCGTATATGCCACCGCTTCAGAACCAAGATGATGCCACAGCATTATAAAAAAACCTTTGTGTTGGAGACAAACAGGACCAAATTCCTGCAATCAGTGTTCTTACTCACTAGTGCTTTGTGTGTTACTCATCAGTGTCTTTGTCATCGTAGGCCGGTGATTTGTGAAATATTTTGGTGTATCTTATAAGGGAGACTTTTTAAAAAAATAAAAAGCCGCCATGACTTAGGTTTACTTTTAGTGAATTAATTAGTACTTATGAAATAAATGCATAAAATTCTTTAGGACAAATTATTGATAATGAACTCAAAGAATATCTATTGCTAACATGAGACTTTAAATTTCTAAAATAGGATCTTTGTGTCGGGTTGGGGACATGACCATTTCTTCCTTCAGTGCCAGTTCTTAATCATTTCCTATTCTTTGGACTCCCATTTCACTTTGCCTGTATGATCTTAAAACTCACCCTAGTTTTCTAGTCATTTGGAGCTAGGACAAAATGTCGGCGCTGTCCCGCCTTTCCTTGCTCAGTCTATTTCATTCCTGTGTATCCGTTGTTGTCTCTGCTGGGTAGTCACGTGTTTGGTATTCTAAGAATTCTCAAGAATTTCAAGACTGGATAGTTTGTTCAGAAGATTGATGTCTCCAGGATAATCGGGAAAGAAAATAGAAGGGCTCTTTGAGGGCCTTAAATCTGAGAAGTATTTTGATCTTTCTGTTAGCTCTCATAGTAAACATATTTCATAGTCTGAGTTTCCATGTGACATGTCTTCTTTCTTTCGCTTAACATGTGTCATGCTACTGTGTCATGGTCATGTTTCTAATCATTATGTAATATCCCACTGGCTTCATGGACTATAATTCATCCACACATTTTATATTTTTAGACATTTAAATTACTTTGAAAAATAATTTCCCCCTAACTTTTTTTTTTTTTTTGAAACAGGTGCTCATTAAGTAGTTCAGACTGGCCTTGAACTCACTGTGTAGCCCAGGCTGGCCTCAAACTTGAGGCAATCCTCCTACCTCAGCCTCCTGAGTGATAAAGTTACAGACATGCATCACCATGCCCTCCTCCCCTATTGACCTTTTTTTTTTTTGGTCTATTTGAGACAGGGTCTCTATGCAGTTCAGACTGGCCTTGAGCTCACTTTGTAGCCTAAGCTGATATCGAACTCCCAACGATCTTTCTGCCTCAGCCTCGGAGTGCTGGGATTATAGGTGTGAGCCACCACGCTGTCCTCCCCTATTGACTTTTGTGGACGTCTTGTTTTGAGGTAGACCTCACGTGTGATAGGCAAGTGCTTGGTCACTGAACTATACCCCTCCAGTCCTTCTCTAATTTTTTGTTAGTACATGTTTGCAGTATATAATGATATTTGTGGTGGAATAC